TTCTTTCCTTCCTTCTTTCTTCCTTCCCTTCTTTCCTTCTTTCTTTCTTTTCTTTTCTTTTTCTTTCTTTTTTTTCTTCCAATGGAGTCTGCCCAGCCTGGAGTGCAGTGGTGGAGTCTCACCTTACTGCAGCCTCTGCCTCCTGGGTTCATGCAATTCTCATGCCTCAGCTTCCCTAATAGCTGAGATTATAGGCATGGGCCACCATACTGGCTAATTTTTGTGTTTTTAGTAGAGATGGGGTTTCACCACGTTGGCCAGGCTGGTCTCAAACTCCTGACCTCAAGTGATCCACCCACCTCAGCCTCCCAAAGTGCTGGGATTACAGGCATGCGCCTCTGCGCCCAGCTGGAAGGAGAGTTTCTGATTAGATAAATTATTGATATGAAATGATACATTAAAATAACAAAGTACTCCTGAGGGATGCAAGGATAGAAAAGTAGAGCCCAGACTTGAGTTGGGGAAGCAAGAGTCATTTGGACCATGTGAGTGGTTCAGAACCCAAGTGTTGTCATAACCCAGGGTTGGCATCTCTGTGGGTGCAGTCTTCAGGGCTGGCTGAAGGGCTGGGCTGTGGAGCATGGGCTTGCGCTTGAAGGAAGCAGGGTATTTGAGTAGGTTGGGAACTCATTGCTAGACCTGAAGTGACTTTTTAGGATGGGTCTTGATTTTCCCTTGGAAAAAATATTTCTGTCTACCATAACTTCACTTGCATAGGATAATGAGGAAGAGAGAAACTTGAAGGGTCCCAAACCACTTCATGTAAGTGGGAGATATTTCCAGCTGGTGGTTCCTAAAGCGTGTGCCTCAAAACACCAGTCCTACAAGATAGTCCTCGAGGAAAAGGCCTTCTAGTTGGGGAAATGCTAAAACTGTCTCCCTCTTGGTGACTCACCTGGAAAAGTCCTGCAGTCAGGAAACTTGCCTAATACTGGGTTTTTTTGTTTGTTTTGGGAGATAGAGTCTTGCTCTGTCACCCAGGCTGGAGTGCAGTGGTACCATCTTGACTCACTGCAATCTCCATCTCCTGGGTTCAAGTGATTCTCTTGCCTCAGCCTCCTGAGTAGTTGGGACTAAAGGTGTGAGCCACCACTCCCGGCCTTGCCTAATATTGTTTAACTGAGCAGGCTCCAAACCTCTTCCCTTCCCTGCTCAACAAGGATGCATTACATCCCACAGAGCACACTTTGGGAAAGTCTGTTACGGGCCACATGACACATTTTGCTGGCCAGCTGTTACCTGTCTGAGTGTGAGAACAGCTTAAATGTTAAATGTCTCAAGTGCCTCCCTTTCACTTGGGCCATAAACACCCAACCCCTAGTATGGAGGGGCCCTTGCTTGTCCCTTGGGCCTAATCTGTTCTACCTCTGCCTACCCTTTGCAGCCGCTGTACCAAATGCCGTGTAATCCCCTGACCTTGCCTCCGCTCTTCCCCCCTCCCCACCCCGCAGTATCTGTGCAGGCTGTCCTCTGCTTGAGACGTCCTCTCCCTGACCCCACTATAGGTGGCAACTTCCTCCTGCTTGTTCATTCAGACTGGGGCCTCCCGTGAGGCTTTGACCAACTGCAGCCTCCT